CCCCCCCCTTAATCCGGGCTTGTTTTAATTTAAATATTTATAGAAACTATAGTACTTCAAAACATTGTTTATAAAGTAAATCCTCAATCGACAGTCACACATAAAATATTTAATATAAACCAATTTAATATAAACATATTTTTACAAAATAGAATATATTAATATGTTAAGCTTGTAGTGTTATAGTGGTACTTATTATTAGGTACTTAAATTAATTTAGCTTTATTTTTATATAGATAAATGATATATTTGTTACATCTGCTTTTTGCTTACTTCAAAGAAAAACACAATCAACTTACGAAGTAATGTTCAAAGCCATTATCTCTGAGTGTGAAAAGAGAGACATTTTTCCTGATCCATCTCATATTCATGTAGATTTTGAAAAGGCCATTATTCAAGCTATTCGTAATGTTTTTGGTGAACATTCAGAAGTTAAAGGTTGTTATTACCATTTAACACAAAGCACGCATAGGAAAATCCAGCAGCTTGGTTTGGAAAATTTGTACCGTGAAAATGATGAGTTCATGTTATTTTGTGGACAAGTTGATAGTTTGGCTTTTTTGCCGGTATCTGACATATTTGAAGGAATGTCTCATTTACGTAAAATCATGCCCGAAGAAGCACATGACTTGGTGGAATATTTTGATCAAACCTACGTAAATGGGACATACAGACGTATTGGCCAAGGAAATAAATTGAAATTCCGAAAAGTACCACCTCTTTTTCCACCTGAAATTTGGAATGTACACGAAAGTACATTACATAATATCGAGCGTACAAATAACCAAACTGAAGGTTTCAATAATCGATTTTCTAAGTTGGTAAGCCATAAGCACCCTTCTATTTGGAACCTCATTAAGAAAATGACACTGGAAGTTGCAGCCGATGAGACAAAACTCCAGCAACGGTTATTAGGCACAGTGCAACCAAAAAAAAAACTTAAGAAGTATGAAAAAATGCAATTCAATTTAAATAAAATATGTGAAGAGTATAGAGATAAGCAACGTGATCTACCAAATGTTTTATTAGCCATATCTCATACCACAAGGTTTACACTATAAATTATATTATGATAAATTTATGTTTTATATTGACGCAATATTAATCCAATATGCATTTAATTTTATACTTGAAATTTTATGTTAACTTATTAGGTGTACATTTTTGCTATACTTATACGTTATACACTTATGCCTGTAGGTACCTATGCCTTTTTTTCATTTGCTTTTTTTTCCTTGTGCTTTTATTTCATTTGTTTTTTTTTCTTTTGCTTTTTTTTCCTTTTGCTTTTTTTTCATTACTTTTTTTTCCGTTGCTTTTTTTTCAATTGCCTTTTTTTCCTAGATTCAGTGTACACAGTACTATTATGAATGTGTTAAATTGTAATCAATGAAAAACGATTCTGAGCGATAACGGTCTAACTTTTTGGTAACAAAGGTTTTATTAATTAAGGAAGTATTATTTCAATTTAATATAATATTAAAACGTTAACAAAATATGTTATTACTAAAACCCGAAAATTAAAAAAAAAAAAACTAAACATTTTAAATGTTGACATCCCAAAACCAACAGCAACTATCAGTAAATATTCATTAAAGTTGACTATCTAAACATTTTTCCTAAGAAAAGTATCTTAACACACGTAAATAATTTTTGTTTTAGAAATCAATACTTACATAAAATTAAGTCATTCATCGCTACCCCTTGAAATTTAAAATCGTATAAATAATCGTATTTAATTTTTGTTGTGTGTAGCTAATAAAAATAATTGAGTTCATGTTTAAATTTAAAAAAAACCCGCATATAACGAGGAATACAATTTTTTTATATTGACTAATCTGAAGTATTTTTAGGTCAAATATATTCAAGTGGAATGAATAGCTAATACAAAAATTATACCTTTTTTACCATTTAATATTTGGCCATTTTTTTTTACATGAATTAGAATATTTTAATATTATTTTTTTCATGTTACGTCTTATATGTATCAGTTAAATGTAATTTGTAATATTATGTACATTTTAATGGTGCTACAGGGTATAGTTTAATACTTAATAGTTTAGGTACAGAAGAATATGTGAGAAAATATGCAAATGGTAGTATTTCCGGTCTATTAGTGGCTAATGGACCTTATGAATTACATGGTTGGCCGTGTAGAGTCGTTTATCGGATTAGGAAAACTGACTTTATGTATATAATGTACTATATAACCGCAAAACACTTTAAGGAGTATAATTAAAACATATTTTTTTATTTCCAAAAGAATATTACCGACATTTATTTGAATTGAAGTTGACAATTAAACATTTCTTAATTAATTCCATTTGTGTGATTTGTTAAAAAACAGCTGCGCTATTCTTTATTACGAAATAGCTAACAATATTTGATAATATTAACTATACAAATTCAGTCACAGGTGAATCCATATATTTATCTGAACTTAGGGAGTAGGTACAGTGGTGTGAGACTCTCTTTAAATCTTTGATGACCAAAAAAAATCCGGGAACGTTACAGAAAAAGCCTCATATGGCTTACTTAAAACCATAACATCTCAAACTTTGCGTAGAATCTTAAAGGTTCAACATGGGTACTTTATAAAATATTTAATATGATTTAAAATATGCTTCATAATCGAAAACAGGGACATTAACCCCGCATCGACAAACTCCACCGAATTCAGTGTAATATTTTTAAATAATTTCTCGATACATTTCCAGAACTGCACCAGACCATCTGACTTATTATACAAAGTGTAATTTTTGAAGCATGCTCAGTCTCGTTTTTCCTTTTAATAAACAATAGTATATTTATTAAAATTCTAATTATTAGTATATACAAGTACATCTAAGAGTCTTAGGTTAAGACTATATTTTCAAACACTACGTAGGGTCAAAAAAACAAACACTACGTTAGTGTGCGTAGTATTTTTAGTACAAATACATCGTTGTACCGTATCAAATATATTGATAATCGATAAATTTTGAAGAAAAAAAATGTTAATCATTGTTTATTGTGCTAAATATATAAATATTAATACAAAACGTGGATTCCTTTTTTTTTGTATAATACGTATAAAATATACAAAACGCTTGAAAATAAAATTATTATTAATTTCTCGTGCAAACAGTCGGTGATTTTATCACGGGTGTGCAACTGTACGATATTATAATAATATATGTATATATAACAGGACATAATATATTGGTATTGCGTACTATCAAATCGACGCCAGAATAGGTCCGTCATCTAAAACCGGCAAATGGCAATCCGTTATAACAATATCCATAATACAAATTCGCATCATTATGCTTAACAATATTATCAGAAGAATAAAACATTAAGAACACACTTACACTATATATATCTATAATTTTACTTAACTGCATCAATGTAAAAAATCATGTACTCTGTATAACCCAACCCATTGTTAATAATAATACTTGTTAAAAAACAATACTTGTAATAGCACCCAGTGTGCTGAAACATTTTAAAATTAAATAAATGAAAAAAAAAAAAAAAAACAATATTATAACATTTATACATAACATAATATTGTATTAAGTATATATTATAACACTACATATTATTGAGTATGTCACTATAGATTATTAAAATATTATGTACAATTGGATGTAGGTTCATAATTCATTAATGTACAATATTATGTACAATAATATGCCTGTGCGATTGTTACTCGAAAACTATATTTTATGAATATTATATACGACTATAGGTATGTAAACGGTTTGTTTCATACAATAAACTCGGCACTCGAGTGTTCCAAAAAGCGACGACGACGAGATCCATATCGAATACTTTGTCGAAAAGTACACAAATTATTATTAAAAAATAAAAATAAAACATTTCCTCAAGCCCGTCACAAAGACACGTGTGGTGTATAGGTACACACACATCATATTATTTTAATGGTTGTCGCAATAATAATGCGCGTGGGTGCTCGTCATAAATTTTTGTAAATATGTGCACTTGAGTGTATAATAGGGGGAGGGGGTACGTATATTTGCATGTTTGTGTATACAACGTATCCTAGAGTAACGCTTCTTCTTCTCGCTGAATAATTAAGCGATGCGTTCGATATTCCTACATGTACACATGATAGCGATCGAGAGTTTTGAGTTTTCTTCATTTTCTCATTCCGCTGGGTGAGATTTTCTGAATAGGCGTACATACCTACCAACTATAACAACAATAATAATAATAATAATAATATCGTCAAACAATTTTTATAAAAAATAAACAAGACGTATATACTGTAATCGATATCCGTATTCGCTGATTATTTCCTACACATCATGTACGTGACGACGAACGTCTGGGACATAGAGCTTACACTTTTTTATACCATTATACGAGAACGGCAATTTATTTCGTTCGTAACACCCCTTCGAAATTAGCCGGATATAATATCACGTGAGGGAGTCGTTCTGGCGATACACATAATATAATACTTTTTAACATATAATTTAAACTTAAATATACTCGGTATATAATATTATAGGTACATATTTTAAAAAGGAACGTAGTCCGGAATATCGGTCTTCATATAGGTCTCTGCACTCTGAGGGTGTTTTTAGGAGATTCCAAGAGTAAAGTTTTCTGCATGAAAATGGTGAGAACCAAAAGGTGACACGTGCGTTGCTTGGTGACACACGTTACCATTGAACTGAAATAAATTCCAAATTATACAGCCGAAAAAGTGCGAAATATTTGTGCATAGCCAGCAAAGGTCATGCGGATCCGTACATAAGTATTTTTATAATAATAATATATTCCAAGCATATAGTGTATACGTATGGTCCTCGAAGTATCCGGATCGGAACAATTCGTGTATAGAAGTAATCTATCAAAATATGTTATAAATTGTTCACAACTGTTGCACCCTGCACATTTATTTTGTAGTAGTGGTAAAGTCGATTTAGTGTACTTCAACTCTTTTATTATTAGTCACCTATAATCATACACAATGAGTATTACATATTATACCTATACGGAATTTTCGTTGAATCTCATAGTATTGTTATTTGTGCAAATAATATAGTTTCACTGATCAATGGAGAGAAACACTGCTTATATATGTTGTAAATTGTAATGCATTTTACTTTGACGATTTGATCTTTTTCTATAAAAGTCCTTAATAACTATAAAATAACAATAAATGTTAATGGTCAATAATAAATTGTGCGTGTTTGAATTTCGGGCTAAATCACAGACTTAACTAAAGCCGAAAACATTTAATTCTAGAGTCTACGGTTCTCTTAGCCCCATTTCTTATACAACAATTGGTGAATAAAAAAAAATAGCTAATTTTATTTTAATAAATACACCTTTTTTCGTTTTTCCAGGTTGATAACTTCTTCTAGCTATAAGGGATTACCTATTCAATATTTTAAAAACAAACTAAGTAATCAAGAAAATAAATTTTTAATTAAAAACCATAAGACACTTATTATTTGAGCGCGCACGTGATTGTCGGTCTTGTGTATTTATACACTATATCAGCTGCTGTTTAAAAACTATTATTTCTATGCCAAAATTAAAAATCATTCAAGTACGCTTTTTAATTATACGTTCACAGCACAGGCCGTAAAACTGTATAAGCCGCAAACCTTCCCGCTCTAAGCTCTTCCCAACAATACCATAGCGATAGCACCTCCTATACGGTAAAAGTCTGCTCGTCTAATTATTAAATATCATGTGATTAATTAATTATACACAAGCTTGTGCAGCGTGCCAGTGTATATATGCATGAGGACTATACGCCGCGGTTTCCCAATTTCACATGTTTTGGTTGCGCAGTATACGACTTATCAAAAAACTTAAAAATTCCTAAAAATATATTTCCACATTTAATGATTGCGTTGTGTCCGTGAATTATCATATATCCACGTGTACTAATGAATTTGTGTATTCATGTCTCACTTATTTGGTTCTCTGTTTTTATTCTTAGGTTGGAGATGATTTTGTTCGTACCAAAAATAATATAAAATACGATAGATTGAAAATAAGAGTACCTTATTACTTAAAACCGGTTTTTCTAATGCAATATCTGACCATATTCTATTGGAATCATTATTATAGTTAAAAATTATTGATTTTGTAAAATTAATGACTATTTATAGTTTTAGACTGTCCCAAATCGTGCTATTTTTGATACAAATAATAAACATTTTCAGTTGATACCAATTTAAATTATTCACCTGAATATAATTCCGATACGTGCTAACAATATCCATTATTCGTGT